AGGTGACAAAGGCCAGCTGTTAGCAACCTTAGAGCTCACCGCCCTTTTTTTGTTTTCCCAAAAATTGTAAGGCTGTATTCATGTCTTTATATAGTACTGATTAGTTTTGCATTGTCATAAAAATTGTCCTGTTGATTTTTTACCTCCTGATTTCAGTATTGAAATTTACCATTTAGTGTATTTGATGTGGGAACTTCACCTTGAATTTTATAAGTAATCTAATTTTTAAATGTGTTTTTACTGTTACTCCAATGACTGCCCTGAGGTGCAAGCAGGCTAAATTACTAATTATAAAGTCTTGTATTCATAGCTGCTTTCCGTTTATTTACTGTAAACATTCTTGTCGTAGGATGCTTTGATGGACTACATCCAGCAGTCTGACACTTTGCTGCAGAAAGACAATTTTCTTCTCTGTGTGGCTGTTTTTCAAGAAGAAATGAAGGAGCTGCAGGCAGACATAAAGCTTCTGAGTGAAGAGCTGGAGCATCACGAGTCTCTGCTCCACGACAGTTAACAAAGCCGGCTGCTGCCCTCTACCAGACACTGCAGGCAGTAGCTCGTCTATCTCTATCACTTTTCCCTACATGACTTCATCAAAGTAATCCAGGAAGCTTTCAGTGTAAACTGCAGACCATTTATGTCATTTACAACTGGAGAAGCAGCAGAAAACATGTTAGCAGAGCTTATTAACATGATGGTGATCCAGCTGCTGGAACAATACGGGCCCCGTCTTTTTAAGAAGCACTTTGCTGTTCTAAAACGTTTGCTGTCTTTGGGTGTGCTTGAGCACAATTGGCTTTGCTCTGAAGCAAAGTTGGTATCCCTCAGGGGTCTCGAAGGCATAGAACATTCTGTATCTGAAGTAAAAACACCCACCTCTTCTAAGGCTATTTCAAATGCATCCACTCACCTACCCAGCTGGATACCTCCTTATGTTTACTCTGAGCTTCTCATCTTGGAAAAGATTCCATCTTTCAAAGGCCTGCATGCATCAATCTGCACCTCTCCTACTCAGTGGCAGGAATAACTGGATTTTACGTCTTCTGCTGTGACAAGAACCGTTCCCTGTCTTACTCTCACCTCTCACTGCTACAGAGTGCTCTCCTCTGGAAAACCATCCTTCCACACTCCTTAGAGAAAGTAGCAGATGCTATAGCTGCTTGCCTACTTTGCCTGTCTGAAAACTCAGCAGGGTTTTCTCACGCAGGGAACCCAAAGGCTCTTTCAAGATATTTAACCAAACACAAAAGACCCATCACTTTTGTGCTGCCTAATCCGGAAAGAGACATGTCAATAAGCTGTCAGCCTCTTCATTTGAGTTGTACCACTCTGTACAAGAAAAAAAAACAAGGTGACTTCACAGTATTTACGGCTACATTTTAGTCATTGCATTTAATTTAGTGCTTCACGTTTCTTTCTTTTTTACATATTTTAGGTTCAGGTAAAAGTCATTCCTTTTGGGGAACAGTGTGATTCAGTGACGATTCTTTCAATGCTGGACAAAACCATTAGTCATGATCACTGGTTGGTTTTTAACCACTGTCATCTGTTGGACGACTGGAACAGTAACGTGGTGGCTCACATCAGTCAACTAGTCTGCTCCTTTAAAGGTTCAGTACAAACACAGAGTCTGAAATATTTTATTGTTTCATATTTTATTTACTTTCTTTGATGCCAATATCAATTTTACACAAAAGAGCAGTGTGTGACTCACCCACGCTTCTGAATATGGTTTGTAACTCAAGAAAATGCTTCAAACCCTTTACCAGGTAGCTCTTCATTATACTTGTTTTATTATTGCCATTATCTATCTTCCTTTTTGGGTTACTCACACTGTAGTTGCAATCCAAAGTTCTTGTTCCAGTACCATCATGTCCTCGTAGAAAGCTATATATGGATATTGTTCAGTGTAGAGAAACTGACCCCTCAATTTACTTATTTTCAATCTTCTAATCTTTAGAAATGTGGAAACTGTTTGATTTCATTTTTGATTTTGATTTATTTATTTAACAGGAAAAGATTACAAAAAATCAAGCCTGACTCAGCATAATTGCTGTTTTACAGCAGGTTCCTGTTCTGCAGCACATAAAACACTCTCATAATAAAATTAAAGGTCAAYCATGTCTGCATTAATTTTATTAATGCAGACATGGTTGACCTTGACATGCGAAAACCATGTTGGCTGTTGTTTAACATAGTTTCTGGTAATCTCCTTTGTGATACCTCTAAGGATTGTTACGCTCTTTTTTTGTAGTACTTGTGATGAGTATCATATACAGTATGTTTTTACAGCTTCAGTTCAAATGTACACCCTATCGCTGGTCTGTGACTCACCCTGTGATCTGAAAGAGGAGCTGAGCTGTTCGTTGCAACAGGTGGTGCCAGTCAGTCAAACTCAGTCATCGTCTCTGCCATCTTCCACTCTGTCTTGTTGCAGAGACAGATCTATAAATATGTAGGCTTTAGAAGACTCTATCATTGGTAAGCAAAGGAGAATACCACTGTAATGCTTGATGACTCCAGGTAATTTCTCATGTCAGTCATTTTCTTCTTTTAAAGGAGTCAGGAGGACCTCCTTGCATCAGTAGATGCACACGTTTGCATTGCCAGCCTCTGCCATGATAAAACAAAAGCCCTGAAGTATATAGCAGGTGAAGCAACACGAAACAATGAAACTGCCTTCCTTGTTTAGGCTTAATTTGCACACTTTAACCTTGTTTTGTTTTATGCTTTGGTCTTAGTGAATCTTGTTCATGGGGGCCATGTAATGGACTCTACAGATTCAGAGGTGGTGGAGAGTCTTGCCCAGGCTTGCTTTTTAACAGAATCATCTCTTTCAGGCAGTGGACCACACATCTTGTCAGATATTATCAACAACTGTGGTCATTTTGGTAATCAGTCAATTTTCAATGGACCTATAAAAGATGTACATTTTACCCAAAACCTATATAAAGACAAGTTTAAGAGCACAGCAAGAAACCAAGCTTAACTTCCTACTAATATACAGTAAGTAACTGTGTCTAAGACTTTGCCTGTTTTGTTCTACTGTTTATACGTCAAGTATTGATGCAGTTTGTATTTTCTTAGGTTTAACAGGTCTATTGCAGGAACTGGAGAAACTTTTTCAGGATTCGGCACTCAGCGRTACTGCAGTGCTGGGTTTCAGTGTCGATGTGGCCCCTGAGAGAGACAAGATCAACAGCCTGCACTTGAACCTACTGCAGGCCTCCCAGACTCCTTCAGGAGTGAGGTGTCTCAGCACARAACAGAATCAACTTGTCAAACTGCCAGCTTGTGGTCACACAAGAGAGAGACTGCAGACTCTGAAGAATTACCTCCCAAACAAGAAAGACAGCCTAATTAGAAATGTGGGAACTGTTTCTTGCAGTCCCCTCTATGACTTTGGGATGAGCTCACTGATTTGGTGTCCTCACACCTCTCACAACTTCAACAGCCTGTTCAGAACATGTTGTCCCTTTCCTCCCTGATGAGCTTCCCTGACATGTCTCAGCTGGAGAGGAGGGCAGAGTTGATCAATGCTTATCTTTGGCACCACAATACATCAGAACCGTATGACTCCTATCAACTATCTGCTTTTAGAAATCCTCTAATTGGCATTGAATTAGAGACCTCTTTGCACTACTTAGGCCACTGCTTGGCTCTGAGTGGTCAAAGGAAAAGAATTCTTGGGCACCCCTTTATGGATCCTGAGAAGCTCAGAACACTGAGGGTTTCTAATCTTGTGTCCTTCATCCGAAGGACGAGAAGGTTTGAATGAAGACCAGTGTCTTTTTGGGGCGAGCAACGGGCCCACTTAGGAGGCCTCCGCTCATATGGATTTTATGTCCATCTCCACTCACCATAACCATAGCACATAAAGGAAATTTGTGCTTGGTATTATTTCTTTGTTGTAACAATGCTTCTTGGCAATCAATCTTAAAGTCTGTTAATTTACTTTTGAATGGTGCCACATTTGTAAGGAACATGCATTTGCGGGATGAGCAGTAGAGATATGTGGGTTGTGCACATGGAAAAAAATTGTCAGATTTTCTCTGCCAAACAATGTATTTTGCTGTTGACCCTTGTTTTGAGTTTCTGGGACCCCAAGGTGTTGCTATAAGATTTATTGCCAAGAAACATTGTTACAACAAAAAAAATCTACCTAACACAAATTTCATGACTTTTTTATGCAAAATGTATGCATACTGTCTTCTACATTTAAATAGTTTGATTCTTTTATCTGTTTGGATAATTTATGGAGAAACTATTTTTTTTCTTTTCAGGTTTTGACTAAAAACACATGCTGAGCCTTGCTTCCTCCAGATGCCACGTGTTTGAGTGGCCTGGAGCTGAGAGGAACATCACGGGATGCGGAGCTCGGAGCCCTTCAGGAMGCTCTTTCCCCTCAGCCATTCTCAGTGCCTCTTCTTTGTGTCGAGGCTCGAGTTAGGAGCACAGACAACAAGACAGATTCTTTGTTGTGTAAAAGTTCATATTTTCTGGATTCAGGCAATCTTCAAGCTGCACGTGTCTCTCCACAGACTGCCACACAGCTGTCCATCTACCACGTCTGCTCTATCTAGACAAAGAGCAGGAGAGTGGAAACACTGTTATAAAAGTCCCTCTTTATACCAAACTACACCCTGCTTTATGTAGTTTCAGGAGGGTGAGATTAGTCAGTATAATCTGTTCTGAACTGTCACCTGCTGTGCTGCATTCAACCTTAAGAGTGAAATCTGCTGATGTAGCTACACAGCAGAATTCAGTGTTTGATTTATGTCATAAACCAATAAAAACATTTGTTTCACAAAATTTCTGTTTGATCTTTTTGTAACATTTTGAAATGAGTCGTTCAGTAAAATTCTTACTGCTTTTCTTGTTCACTGTCATTGAACAGATTTAAAATAATTTTAATCATGCATGTTTAACATACAAAGACTGTACACATTTAAAGTCTCAATATTTGTGTTTAACGTGAAGTGTTTTTGTCCCCCTTGTAGGTAACATGGACAGGCATCACTATGAAACATTCGATAAATTTGGCAACAATACTTTTCTGCTCCATTTGGACAATGGGAGGGCGTGAGTACTGGGGCATTTTGTTTGTAAAGTTCTATGCTCAGCACATGTTGACAGTAACATGCTTGTGAAAGCTGTCTTTGACATTTGTTAGGACTGTTCTGACTCACATCGGGTTGGTTGTCTGCAGATTTGGGCGTCACACAAAAGATGAACCTTCTATTTTAGCCCCACTAGAACAGTGCTGCAGGTACAAATAACACAATCAAAACTTGATTTGTTTTAAAGTACATCATCTTTTTGCTATATTTTCTCCCTGTAAACTGATGTGATGTGCTTTTGGTTGGAGGATCAAAGAATACAAGAAATAACTAATACTGCAAAGCTTTTAGACCTCTACRTTTGATTTTCTCCCTTCCCTCTTCTTTCAGAATCCGTCGCTCCACTTGGCTGCGTCTTCGCCTCCTCTCTTTGCCTCAGTATCATATCAGTGATGTCATGAGAGCCTCGCTGTCTCAGGATCCCCTTCACAAGGTGGCTCCTCTGCTCTCTGAGCCACACCTCGCTGCTCTCAGCCGACGGTTGACAATCGTGCTGGAGACTGTAAGTCTTTGCCAAGAACGGCAGAAAAAAGATGGCGGTGCTGAGGACGTCATCTATGATGACCTTGCACATTTGAARCAGAGCACAGACCAGTGAGCAGTACCACACCTCTATTTTCTATTTGTATTTATACTGAGCTCCATCAATTAATGGCAAACCTTAAAACACATTTGTTTCTGCATATCAGCTGTGCATTTTTACTGAAATAATTAAAAGTTGACATTTTGAGAYATGATCAGATATTGTTTTCCTTTTAATATAAAGAACCAGTCAGCGCTGACTTCCTGCTGCTGTTTCTTTTTGACAAAACTGACAAGATTTCTGTGAAATCTGACAAAATCCTGGATGTTCATCCTTAAAATGCAGATTAAAAATTTGATTAGGTTTTCCTTTTTAAAATGTCATCCACCTAAAAGGATTGTCAGGTCCTAATTTGATGGCACACAGTTTATTACAAATTTMTGTTTTTGTGTCTAAGAGCTGGTTTTATTTATTTGTTGTAGAGGTTATCTGGTGATAATCTTCATTTTCAGTGGATATCTCCATTTTGATGGATGCATCATGTTTCCTCAGTGTTATCTATCTCAAATTGATTTGTGTCTGACTGTCATATACACTCACCGGCCACTTTATTAGGTACACCTGTCCAACTGCTCGTTAACACTTAATTTCTAATCAGCCAATCACATGGTGGCAACTCAGTGCATTTAGGCATGTAGACATGGTCAAGACAATCTCCTGCAGTTCAAACCGAGCATCAGTATGGGGAAGAAAGGTGATTTGAGTGCCTTTGAACGTGGATCTACTGGGATTTTCACACACAACCATCTCTAGGG